AACGAAGAAAAATTATTTTACATTTTAAAAAGTTTGGCGTGGAAATTTTAAAACACCCTGTATGATTTAAGATTGCCTTTTTCTTCATTTCTTGTGTATGGTCGAAAGTTGATCACACTTTTCGCACGAGCAAAGAAATTTAACGACAACTCCAGAGATTTTCCATTTACAGTTGATAAAAATGTAATAAGAAAACTTAATTTCAGTCACTACATTGCCCAATTTTTCCTCGTACATTCTTAACCGGGAAAACTAAAGAAAATGCCTGAAAATTCCAGGAAATGTCCGAAAGTTCCTGGTTTAATCATGAGGATTAACTAGTGGAGACCTTCCGGTTTTCCTTAGGGAATGTGCTACGACATCACGAAACCAAGATACAAACTTTTTGGTAAATTGAAAGCCTGGACTTGTTGGATATTTCTTTTAACACACTTTATCCTCTGTCAGGACTTAACTCGATCTTTAAGTAAACTTAAATAAATCAATCAAAATGTAATAAAGCTAAAACCATATAAGTAGTACTCCTAATAAGGGTAGTATACAAGAAGTTTCCCAAATACAGTTTGGACTACCCTGTATAACAATACATAATACAGTAGATAATTAATAGTCTAATTCAACTAACGAAGTTACAGTTGGGGGTTGGAACATTTGGTGTTACAACAGCAAAATAAAACACTAAATCACCAGAATAATACACCAAAACACTTTTACTTTTAGACTGGACGCGCGTTTCGCTAACCATGTTAGCATCATCAGCAGATGATTAAAACTAAACTAATATCTACAAAATAGAGCGTTTACATACTCGCTCAGTTGAAACTGTGACGGAATATATTGAGCTTACATCGCTATATTATATGAAACAAAATTGTTTTCAATTTAATAACAACTTTTGGCAATGGGTAATACATTGTCTCCATTTTTGGCTAATCTATTCATTAGCAGGTTTGAGTTAGCAAGTCGTCATTAGCAAGTTGAGGCTAAAAATCACTTTGAGTATTTTCCAAGAGTATGGTTTAAGTATGTGGATGATATTTTTTCTGTTTTTGACACACATTTATTTACTACACTGAGGTGTATATTCTTAGTATGTGAGTAAAATTTTCTTTTTGAGGGTATTCCAAGCTCGAGGTGACCAAATCGACCAGTACGGTTTCCGTCAATAATAGAAAAAAAATGAAACAAATATGGTCCATAGTTTTATTCTTTTTTTACGCCAGTAGGCTTATTTATTTTTTTCCATAGCAACTGTTAAAATTGCCTTATATCTATCAAAAATAGTAGATAAAATAGTACTTTAACCGCAAGGGTAGATTAAATGATACTTTAACAGCGAGGATAGATTAAAAACTTTATTTCTTCTCGCACGTTTTTTAATTGCTTCCATTTTCGAAAATTTTTGTATTCCTTTTCATAAGTTATTCGGGATTTAAATGGAAGTAGTTTGGATATGGCGTTTGTCGCCTCAGCCTGAATATCTGTTGGTAATTTACTTATTTCGGTTTGAGCCATTTCTGCCTCCAATTAAGCAATCGACACGAAAGAGAATTAAAAAATATTGACTCAAAACTGACAACTAAAGAGACAGCTTTATTTATTTCTCAAATTACATAGAAACCAACGCCAACACAGAACAATATTTTTTCTACTCGTAATAAATTCCTTGAAATAATAATTTCTGAATATTTTTTAAAACGTAACTCGCTATGGAAAAAATATTGTTTTATAAACGACGATAAAATTGTATTATCGTCTCCCGAAATTAATTCACTCGCGATTTCATCGTGAATTAATCTTTTCGATCGACGATAAAATACCATGTTATCGTCTACATGGCTACATCTACGTGACTAACTGTAGCTGTTTTCTTGATATTTCCTTCCATATATCCAGTAAAAACCATGTAGTTCTGTTTTAAAATACATACCATCTGTACTAATTTTGTATTATAAAAACTCTAAAATATAAAGCTCTACGAAATCGACGAAATAAATAAATAACACAGTTTAAAGTTCATTTAACACTTAAGTGTTATACAGGGGCTCTTAAAGACTTTAAATAGGATATTGAAACAACAAACTGGTCGGCTTTAATGATCCGGATAAAAATAAAAACTTTAATCGGATCTAGGAATGCCAGATTCTCTGAATCAGTATAATTATATACAAACAAATGTTAGCGTTCTCCTTAATTATTTGTTATGGATTTTGACTTTTTAAATAAATACATTTCTATACGGGGTGTTTTTGAAAAGTGGCCCACCGGTATATTTTTTTTTTAATTTTTCATATAAAAAACGAGATTTGGTACGTTAGTGTATGACATAAATCAGGATTGATTGACGTATTCAATTGTTTTCGGTCACTTCCTGTTTCACCAGAAATGACTACAACTTTTGATTTTTAAACGACACCCTCAGTATTTTTTTTTACATTATTCGATAGAAAATGACACTCTAAATAGAATGATATGTCATATGTCAACTTTTGAGAAACACCTGGTATACAGGGTGTTATTTTTAAAGTAAGTAAGTTTTTAAGTACTTATTGCTGAGTTTTTTGGGAAAAAACGGAATTTTTTGAAAATCAATTTTATTGTTTCCTGTAGTTACTTTTTAGAAAATCAAAAAACTAATTGCACATTCTCATAGCCACTTTATTATAGAGCTCTCTGACAGTATTTTTAGATTTTCAAATTAGCTGATAATTTATAAGATACAGAGGCCAACTTATTTTTTTAAATACGGACCTGCATTTTTTATTTCAAGTTCTGAAAGAACTCGGTCTCCTGAGCACAATGACATGCCACACTTTTTACTTTTTTTTGTTTTGGGTACTTTAACAATAACAAAACGATTTAATTAGTATTTAAAATAATTTCAAGTCCGACCCTGGTTTTTTAAATTATTTAATCTGATTATATTCATCGCAACAATTGATATCTATTGATCAGCGCTAATTAACATTGAATAAGGAAAATCGAGCCAATTGAAAGATTCAAATAAATAATATCCAGGTCAGCAACTTAAAGATATTATTTTTAACTTTATTTATTCTGAATTTGAAATCTCAGTTTTTAATAATATGCATAATATTAATCGTAGTTATTATAAATAAATCAACTTCTACAAACTAGTTTTTAATGCTCTACATGTTCGAAAGGGTTACCACCCTCTTATTTTATTGCCTTTGATATTTCATATTCAACGTTTTACCCCACATCATTGTTAAGTTTGAAAGCATATCAATATTGTAACGATGAATAGATTAAATATTTAAAAAAAAACAGAGCCGGACTTGAAATTAGTTTAAATGAATTGTATTCAAATGTCCGAAACAAAACAAAATAAGTGTGGCGTATTCAGGAGACCGAGTTCTTTCAAAACCTAAAATAAAAAATGCAGGTCCGTATTAAAAAAAATAAGTTGGCCTCTGTATCTCACAAATTATCAGCTTAAAATCTAAAAATCCTATCAGATTCCCAAACGAGAATCTACAATTATTTTTTTGATTTTCTAAAAAGTAACGATAGGAAAAATAAAATTGATTTTCAGAAAAATTCAGCAGTTCTTGATATTTTTAAAACTTTTTTGGCATCTTTAGTTCAGTCATTGGGGATTTTTGCTTGCAAAAAAGTCCGGAAGTTTTGCAACTTTGCAGGTTTATAGGTTTTGGAGTCCCTAACGAAAATCCATAAAATGTACATTTCCAGACTTGCCGCCGGCGCCAAAATCTGTATTTTGTGAATATCTCGAAAACTATGCGTTTTTCGCGAAAATTTGAGGAGAGCAAAATTAAAGAGAATAAAATTTCCTATAAAAAAGGTTTTATGAAAATTTTCGCTAAAGTCAACCGTTTAGTCGTTTGGTCTCCCCGGAGGCCTACTCCACTAGATAAATTAAAAATTTTAACTTATCTGCACAAGCCCGACGGATCTGGCTCATTGATGTCAAAGTCGATCGTGTCTGCTGTGCTGGGCTCATCAGGCTGGTCTCTTAATTCGTCCAACTTTTCATCTTCAGTCGCCAGAGGGATATCTACAGGCAAGTCCAACTCCTCTTTATCGGATTCATCGAGTGGCACTTTAGTGACGTTGTCACAGGATTTCCCATTGCAGTATGCACAAATCATTGAACATTTTAATCCTGCTTTTCTGCATCAGCAGGCTGTACCATAGTTGTTGGTTTTACATTTACAAGATAAAAATGCCAATAGGGATTTTGGAGCTGGATCTTTTAAGATTGTGACTGGAGTAATGCCTGTTTTTGTTTTCTTCCAACCCCATTCTTCGGCATCTTTGGTACAATCAGACCAATGCTGAACCTGGTGGTAAGTTCGCAATGAATGCTGTCCAGCACGACAATTAAGTATTCATAAATTAATGAGCGAATTAATGATACGTCATTGTTTCATGACAAAATTGAAGAAACTAAACTAAAACCAGTTTTAGTGAACCCTAATCGACATTTAATTTCGGAAAATCGACTATACATAATATATCATATTTTACGCAAATTTGTAAAATTTCCGTGGATTTTGTGCCTAAACGGTTGACTTTAGCGAAGATTTTCATAAAACCGTTTTTACAGGAAATTTTATTCTCTTTAATTTTGCTCTCCTCAAATTTTCGCGAAAAACGCATAGTTTTTGAGATAGTCACAAAATATCTATTTTGGGCGCCATCTTGATAAGATGGCGGCGCCGACGGCCTGTCTGGAAATGTGCATTTTATGGATTTTAGCTAGGGACCCCAAAACCTATAAACCTGCAAAGTTTCAAAACTTCCGGACTTTTTTCCAAGTAGGCCCCTTTTTATTGATCCCCAATGACTGAACTACTTGACAAACATCCCAAGGCGCAACTTTGCCCCAATTTAACCATCTTCGTATCTATTACGGTTACCGAGATACCAATGCTGGTACCCCGAATTTGTAGCATCCTGTATAGGACACCGCGTATTTCGTTTAAATCTAAACTTTTCTCGTTTGTCTCTTGCAGGAGATCGATCTGCAGGGCTTCTGCGAGTTCCTGGACACCTACCTGGAGATGGAGACGCCCAGGGAGCTGTGCAAACACCTGTTCCTGTCATTCGTTAGGAAGAGTGTCAAGGTGGAAGGTAAAGCCTTTAAGGAGATGACAGTGCTGAGCTCGACAACTGCTTGCGCTCCCATAACATCGCATAACAAAGGTCACTAACATAAGGCTTGTTCTTGCTGCTTTTAGTATTTGTTTTTATTTGTACAGAGTGTCTCGTAAATATGAGCAAATATTTGAAGTTTAAAAAAAAATACTCACATTTTGAGAACATATTCGCTGAATTTCAACATATTCGACGCTCTGTGTTGCCACGTGAACAAGAAAGTACTGTACAGGGTGGCGCCTCTCATACGCCGCGGAGGCTCTAAGGAGAACAACAGTTTGTATTAAAATATATATATTTCGTATGAGAAGCACAAATACAACATGCATGAGAAATATAAGGACTTAAAAATATTACCAGTATATATAAAACATATATGTAGTCAGGGACAAAATTTACATTAAACATTTATATTGAGGTCATTTATCCAGTCAATTGCCGAAGAAGTAGCGCAAAATAAGTTCTGGATGCCCCCAGGAAAGGCTCTGGGTGGACATTCGGTCAAAATGTGTTCCATCGTTTGTCGTGGAGCGCCACAGTCGCACGCTGGTGAGTCTTCAATTCCCCATTTATGAAGCATATCACGGCATCTGCCATGACCCACCCTAAAACGATTTAGACGACTCCAGGCATGACGAGGAAGGTCCATACCCGGGAGGGCACCCGATACATCGGCAACTAAGTTCAAGTTGCGTGTTCCCAGACCGCTAGCCACAAGCTCGTTCCATTTGGAGTGCATATTGTACTCGCTCTTAAGTTCGTCGTCCATCCAGATTGGGTTACGAGATTTGAGGCGCTTAGAAGGAGGAGGATTGATAGACAGTTGAATAGGTAAGCCGTCTTGGGTGGAAGCCTTCATCCACTCCTTTTGTGCCATAGCAGTTCTGCGAAATTGAGGGGGGGGCAATATTCGCCAGGATCGGGAGCCATACTGTTGGGGTTGATCTCAATGTCCCAGTTACAACTCTCATAGCTTCATTGAGCTGCACGTCGATTTTATACGTGTGGTGACTTTTGTACCATACCGGTGGCACAGTACTCTGCCGCCGAGTAAGTTAGAGCCAGCGCGGCAGTTCTGAGTGTGTTTCCATCCGCACCCCACGAAGTTCCTGCGAGTTTACTCAAGTTATTATTTCTGGATTTAATTTTCTGTGCGGTTTTTGTAATGTGCTGATTATAGGATAAAGTCCTGTCCAACGTGACACCCAGATATGTTGGGCATTGGTTGTGTCTAATTCTTTCTCCCCAAAATATACGTTCAGTTCCTCTTTAGCTAACCTATTCGACAAGTGAAATGCCCCAGTTTCCGATTTTAGCGGGTTGGGCTTAAGGCACCATTTCTTGTAATATGCATGCAGTATTTCAAGATCTCGCGTAAGCTGGTTGCTGCCTGTTTCCAAGGACTGATGTTGTGTAGCCAGTGCCATGTCATCTGCGTATATAAATTTAAGAGCCGTAGTTGGCGGGACGTCATTTGTATATACGTTGAAAAGAAGTGGAGCGAGTACTGACCCCTGTAGGAGACCATTATTAAATGTGCGAGGGGAGCTAGTTTTATCGTTCAAATGTACAGTTATTCTTCTGTTGCTCAGCATGTTCTGTATGAGGTTTGTGATCTTTCTGCATTTGTTGGAGCTTGTACATCATGCCCTTTCTCCACACTGTGTCGTAGGCTGATGATAAATCAACGAATGCGCATGCAGTTTTCATCCCCGTCTGGAAACCTGCTTCGATGAAAGTGGAAAGAGCAAGAACTTGATCAGTGCAGTTGCGCTTGGCTCTGAAACCTGCCTGTTGTTGGATAAGAACGTCTTCGACTGATTGCGAGATTCTGTTATAATGTAATCTCCAGCAGTTTATAGGTCATGCTAAGTAATGCAATGGGTCTATAGCTTGAAGAGACGTCAGCCGGTTTTCCCGGTTTAAGTATGGCAAGGATCTTCGAATGTCTGAATTATGAATGTCTGTATTAAAATGAAATTTTGTGAGTATATGTAAGTTAATTCAGAGCACTTTTTAAAATTATAGAGAGTTCTACAGGGTGCCCCCAAAAAAAGTTACATATCAAAGTTGTGTTTTTTGTAATGGAACACCCTATATATTAATTGATTTTCGGATTTTGGGAGAAAAATAAGGGTGAGTTTTAAAAGAGAAGTATATGACTAAAATGTAAGGTTTTTGACATATTTAACATTTTCTAGAAATAAAGAACAATTTTTAAATTACAATGAAAACTACCTAAATTTGAATTTACCCGGTGTAGCCTAATATGTAGTTAAATTAACTATTTTACTTTAAATCAAATTAAAACTTGATCCAAAAAGTTATACAGGGTGAGACAAAATTAATATTGAACATTGGTCACCTTTAAAAGCATGTTACTCTTTTATTTTAAATAGAGCACCCAGTATATTATTCCGATATTCAATGGAGAATTCATGTCTCTTCAAAATACTATTAAGGTTGCCTACCCCTCAAACAAAGATTTTCCTAGATATTTTCATTTACACGATTTGATCTGAGCAGATCTTTATTATTTGATAAAATCTAGATGGCTGTCATATGGCTGACGTTACTTCAACATAGCTGTCTAATTAGTCCAAATTTAACAACTAGTTATCATTTTGTATCAGTTAAAACAAAAAAAAATTCTCAGAAATTTACAGACAAAATGCAAACTTATCCTACATCAGAGAGAAGTGATATGCTTCTATTCGAAATATAACACCATGCAGTTAGTACTTGCACTTATTTAAAAGGCACTCTGTATATTATTTATCGGAATTTTGTTTGTATGTTGTTTTTTACATTTTTTTCTCTGTCAAAATCAAAATAAACAAAGTAAGCATCGTCCAGATTAGTCCTGACAGCAAAAAGATATGTTAAATTAGTCTGGAATAAACAAGTTTTAACAAGAATATGTGTTTCATAATTTAATATATTATGACTATGAATATGGTTTTCAAATAATAAAGTGTTGGGAGAAGGAATATTTTAACTTTCTTTATCCTCTAAAGGAAAATGTAATGAATACTATAATCGTTATACGGGTGGGTCTTAAATGAGTGCAAATATTTTTAGGGGCAGTATATTTCGACCCGAAAAAAAATTGAAAATTTGGAATTTTTTGGATTTTTTTTTAGTTTTCAGTTAAAAAACATAATTTTTTGATAATATGGCAAGATAGGTAGAAGATTAAATTTACAAGAAAGAGAACCCAGAAAAGATCCAGTGGTTCTCAAATTCTAAGCAAAAAATATATTTTTTTTTAATTTTCAAAATAAAATAACTCGGTTATTTTGGACTTATTTGAAAAACGATAAAGAGAAAATATGTTTCTTTCATCGAGACCTACCAGTCCTGAAAATATTTGAACTTATTTAAGGCTCACCCTGTATCATATACATTCTGGACGGCAAATTTTGAACTGTTCAAATATTTTGGCTCCCCTATTAATTTTACATCTAAGTGGTAAATAGTGTTTTTAAAGGTCTGCGCATGCTCAATGCACATGCCAAATTTGAACAATTTTAGACAAGCCGATTTTAAGTAATTCAAGAGGAACTGCATCTATTTTTAAATTAATACTGAACAGGTAATAATGAAAAACCAGTCAAATAACAACATACCTTAAGTTAATAGACCTATGATTTTATCATTGACAAAGGTAATTTGTTGTGCTGTCTACACAACTACTTTATAGTACCTACGGTTCTCTCTCTCTTCAGTCCTGACCCCCATTAGGGAGTGTAGTGGTCAGCGTAACATCATGGATGATTTTTCTCCATGCGCCTCTGTCTTTTGTCATCTCGATGACATCGTGCATTGGCTTGCTACAGCTAGTCGTGATCTGGTCTATCCATCGAGTTGGAGAGCGGCCACGTGGTCTACGTCCCTCCACCTTGCCTTGAATTATGAGTCTTTCCATATTGTCCGGACTTTTCCTCATTATATGTCCAAAATATTTTAGTTGTTTTAGTCGGATTTTACAGGAAAGCCTGTTAGTAATATTAAGTTCATTTATAATGGAAACGTTTGTACGGCGTTCGGTCCATGGGATACGGAGCATACGTCTATAACAATACATCTCGATAGCATCGATCTTCTTACGTTCCGCCTGCCTGAGAGTCCACGATTCGCAGCCATACGTCAATATTGGGAGTACGAAACAGTTGACTAGCCGGTTTTTGGTGGCTCTTGAAATCTGGCGGTCTTTCCAGATCTTGGTCAGTCTCCCAACAGCTACCTTTGCCATGTTGCACCTACGCTTCACCTCTTCTTCCGATGTGCCTGTATTTGTCAATAGTGATCCCAGGTATACGTATGACTTACCGACTTCAAAGCGGTCGATATGACTTATATTTGGATGGTTGTTATGTTGCCTATCAACTATCATAATTTTGTTTTTTTGCGTATTTAGTTCCAGACCGAGCCGATTGCTTTCGTTTTCTACCCTATTTACTAAATTGATTAACTCTTCTTGACTGTTAGCGAGTAGTGCTGTATCATCTGCAAAGCGTAGATTATTTATTTTTTGGCTATTTATTGAAATGCCTCCTTCCCATGTTTCTAGCGACCTTCTCATTATGTATTCTCCGTATATGTTAAATAGTTGAGGAGACAATATACACCCCTGTCTGTAGTGTGCTGATTCAACTGAATGATAAGTGAAATAAGGTGTTGCGGTACCCCCACTTCCTTTAAGATTTTCCACAGGTGATGCCATCTGACTTTATCGAAAGCTTTTTTATAGTCTACGAAACAAATATAAAGAGAGATGTTGAATTCCCTTGCTTTCTCTATGATTTGGCGCATATTCAGAAGATGTTCCCGAGTGCCTCTGCCCTTGGTGAAACCTGCTTTGGAATTTCTCTTTCTAGAAAAGCTTTCAGTCTTTCATTTATAATTTGCATCATTACTTTACTTGCGACCTACCTTTACCTACGGTTAGCGTCCTTTAAATGCATTTTTGTAATTTAAAATTGGTTTGAATGAGGCAAAAACCCAACATTTATAAAATAAAATTTGAAATTAAAATTATAGGATGA